GGGGGGGTGGTACATTATAATATTATATGTGTACGGGGCTCACAACTGATAAGGTCATGAACACGCGGGACAGATTAAGCATTTCCAGGTTGAAGGAATTTTGATTTTTCCTTTGGTGGCGACCGAAGCCTACTAATACTATTATCGATTTTAGACCACGAGGGATATTTAATGTGTGTGTGCAACTTGCACACAAGACCTCCGAGATTTTTCGCCATTATCCGAGAAGGCTTGGTGCAGATCTTATCTATCATAATATAAGATCAGGGGTGTAGCTGAAAACAGCAGTTAGAAGAAGCCAAGTGGTAGCAATTGAAAGGCTACAGAAAGAGTCAGGAGCCCAAAGGAGTGGGTAAAGGAGGTGAGATGGGGTGGGAGCAAAAAGTGGAGACGAAAGCAGACAACAGAACATTGTTAGAGAGCAGGAAAGGATGTGAACGGAGAACATTTTTTCAGAAGAAAATTTTCCGTTGCTATCCGGATTCGAAGTCGGGACCTTTAAATGAGTGAGAGCCATGCAACCCGATACTGTTTATATTTTGATACTGTATGTTAAATTTTAAAAGTTTTTGGGTCTTTTTTCCTCAAACATGCAAGTGATTATATGTTTCTTTATAATTATATAGGCCTAGACTGACACTGTAGGGAGTGTTGTAAAATTTAATATTCAGAAGAAATTGAAAATGATGGGAGGCCTCGTAGTGAAATCAGGCACTTGTCAAAATAATGGAATCTAAGAAATGGGCATTTTTCTTCCAGTTTTACAATTTTTATAAAATTTTTGTTTTTGGGCCTCAACACCTCTATGTCAATCTTTAAAAAACCCCATATTTTCAGGTGAATTAAACTGAAACGTTGACTAATGGCACAGAAATATGTAAATTTTCACTTTTTCAATGGCCTCTCAAGCTACAGATATTTTACCCAACTTTGACAACCATTTTTCGCTAAATTTCACCTGCATTAGCAAGATACCCCCACTTCTTTCAATCACAAATTGATATCTCGGCTTCTATTCAAGATAAGTGGATATTTTTATTCATCGAGAGCAAGGCAAATGAATAATTTAGCCTTTAGATGTTTCCAATTTTACTCCACACATATTAAAAAATTGACGAGCGCCTGATTCAACCATGTCGTGACTAATATTATAACGCTTAACTCTTTTAGTTCTTTGTGAAAAAAATTCCAGCGCTGTTTATGAATTTATATAACCTCAGTATTTCCAGGGTGCCTTGATAGTTGAAGCAGACTTTGTGATATTGAGGCTAGAGAGGTTACCAGAGTAAGCTTGATTCCCTGTTTAGACTTCATCCACCCCTTGACGCTCATATAACCTTTTGCAGTTGCAAGCGCTGTAAAACCTTACTAAAACTAACTTACTAACCTCAATATTTATGAATAGAGATGTATAAAATTCTTATTGTAAATGTGTAAACATTTTATAAAAATTCATTCATTTCCTGGCATTTTTGTGTGTATGGTGCACTTACTCTGTGACATATTTCATTAAAATATTATGGTTTTTGTACACCCTTGATCAGAATTTAGTCAAGGACAGAATCCCCAAGAAATTCTGGTCAAAACACTGAGCATTTAAAAGAGTTAAAAATAAACAGAATGAAGAGAGTTCCTGCTTGCAAGAGTGGTAAGATGTGTCATTTTGTATGCTGTCTTTTATTGCTCACTTTTGCCATAATTGTAACTCGTATAAGTTTCTGCTGCCTCAGACAAGCCACAAAGAACAGTCATGTATAAGTTTCTGCTGCCTCAGACAAGCCACAAAGAACAGTCATGTATAAGTTTATATTTGTACGCTCAATATCTTCTTTTTTTTTCTTCATGTTTTCAGATTCTTGCTGAACCAGTAGAGAAGTGGAGAAATGTGAAAGGTTTTAATGCTCTGGTAAGTTTTAAGTTCTGATTTCTGACTTCTTAGCATTGGAGGAACACACCACTCAGTTTTTGAATTTAGTTAAATCTTAGATAGTAGTTTCATTTGAGGTTTGAAAATCCAAACAATCTTTTAGGAAATACTGAATTTATTTGCCACTATTGATTTATGTGGTACATGTTTTATAAGTGCTTTCGCTTGTTGACTGCTTGTGATGATGTGAATTGCCCATGGTATTTATTAATTTTTTTTTTTGTCCTAAGGAACTAATGTATCAAGATCCTGTGAGGTGGGGGATGGCCCTTCAGACGCACGTCCAACTTACAATGCTGCAAAATCATTCAAAGCCAATGGTAGAGCTTTCATTTTAACTTTTATTTCTTTTTGTATAAAATAGTATACTGTACTTTATTTATGTGTTTATGTATGTGTGTGTGTGTATGAAACATTTTGAGGAAGTGTATTTATTGCTTTTCTGAACAATATGCTTTAACAATTTTTAAGATAACTTAAGTACTTGTACTTAGGGAGATAAGGTTAATTTTGACAGGTAGAAAGGGAAGACAAAAGTGAGAAAAATGGCTTTAAAGTTTCCCTTACTGATCTGGATCGAGTTATACTCCAAATGAATATTGATAGATCACCTAGCCAAGTTGTTGCTCTCCAAAACCCTTGACAACTCTGTTGCTACTCAAAGGGCAACTTATAAAAAAACAATTTAAGAAACTGAACAGTTTCAAAGTGTCATTAAAAAGTATGTAAAGAAAATTCACAATCAACTAGATGTAGGAATTTAGCAAAATAACTTCGCTTTGCTCGGGAAGTGTGGGAAGGTACGTGTATGCACAGAGCCTCCCTTCATTTCCTGTGTTAGTGAATTCATGCGCACAGCACAGCACAAGAAGTCACACTAGCTGACCTAAATATATAATGTGATGAGTTTGTTTTTATTAAAGAGTTACAGAAACACTCTGCCGATATAGGCTCTGACAGTAAACGTTCCCACTCAATCTTTGTTATTATGTAAGAAGACTGTGTCAAAGCACATCTTCAAAATATATTTCTTGGCATAAAGTAAACACAAAGCCTTGTAAATATTGGTGAATAAATGGCTAAAGAATCTCTATCGAATGAAACTCAATTTTGGTAAAAATTCGATTTTTGACCTTCCTTGAAAGTCCACTCTAGTTGGTTTTTAATTTTACGAATTAGACCGGTAACAAATGAAAATCCGATAGTCACAACCTAATGAGAGACGTAAATAACTACTGTACCGCAGTGGAAGCAGCATTATTTATCTTATATAGTTTGGGATTGGGTTTTTTTCAGATAATTTTGTAAAGAAATTTTTTAAGTGAATAAAAAAAAAATACATGTATGATGATATTTTTAGGAGATTATTTCCTGGATTTTTGGACATACATCAGGACAATTCACCGGGAGCTAAATGGTTAAGTCGTGTATTTTCCCAGTAAATGTTTTTGTAAGATTATGGATAGTCTTTGCTCATGTGATAATTATGAGCAACTTTTTCCTCACAATGGTGAATAAAATTGTGTAATTTTTGTTTTTTTAATATTTTTTTTTGTGGACAGACTGAACCAGTGAAACTGATGGAGAGATCAATCTTCAGTGCTAAGTACTGCTTTACTGACAACTTGTTTCACAGGTATGGGAAAAGTAATGGAAGCTACTCGTACTTTATCTAGGGCATGTGAACTAGAGTATGGGGACTGTAGAAGTATGTTGGGAGAAGTTCATATATTTAGGATTAAATTGGTCGCTTTTAAGGACAAGTGGGCTAACCCAGATTTCGGGGTTTTTGAGAAATCTTGACCTACCCCAAAAGTGGGCATTGCCCTACCTATAGGAGAAGTTTGGTTTCATTGGTGTGTATATTCGTTTGGTTATAGAGAAAACTCCCCTGTCTTTTAAAGAAACTGAACAAAGGGCAGAAACTTGACCTTCGATTTTCTCAAAACAGCATTTTTCGGGATAGCCCCCCCTGTGCTTAAAAACGACCAATTTAGAATCGTAGTCCTGAAGGAACTGAATGTAAATTGGAACTGAGGGAAAAGTGTCACAGCAAGATGGGTTTTCTTTTTATTGCTGGTTATATTTTCTCAATTATGTTTCAAAAATATTTGGATCTGTTCATTTGTTGTATCATTTTAACTGAATTTCCTACTGCCTTTTCAGGAGAAAATAAATGTTTATTCTCGAGTCCTTACTCTTAATTGACCTCAAAGAAACTTAACACCATTCTTCAATAAGTTCACTTAATTGCCCGTGCTCAAAGATCCAACTGGATGGTAATCTTCTATGTGTATTGAAAGAGTTTACAGTAGTCAGTAGAAAGACTTGAGCAGCTTCCATCTTTACAGCAGTGGTATTGTGCTGTTTTTATGAACTTTGGTATGAATACTGACTGCTGCTTTATCTTTTTTCTTTTTCCTTGTATCAATAATGACTGGATTTTAAAAGCGACTGGGTGGTTGGAGGGCGTCACTGGTAGGTTTTGTTTTGTAACGATGTGCCTCTCATTTAAAAGAACACACAGCTTAAAGAGATGTTGTTATTATCGATCCAGCAACAGCTTAAAGAGATGAAAACTAGTGTATTTGTAATATATTCATATTACTAGGGAATTATCCATGTTCTCTTTCTAGTGGAAAGATGCCTGCTATTGAACACGCCATCTTGACAGAGTGGTTTGACTGGATTATTCAGTCTCAAAACATCAAAGTTGATCTTTTTGGTGAGTGCTATTTATGAATAGTTTGTCACTCAAGAGAACCTTTTTTTTGATGGTCAGATCTAAGTAGTAGTTGTGGGTGTTTTGCGGATGCCATAGCTGCCACTTTCCCGCTAAATAGCGGAAACTCCGCTTAATCTAGCTTTTCCCCGCTACTTTCCTCCTTCCTCCGATGGACCGCTCTCGGTCGCAAATTGCGATACTTTTTTTACAGGCGGAAAACACCGAACCGGGAGAGAGAGGAAAACGCAGCTTGCGCATGACGCATGTCCGCCCGTAGCTTTCTACTTCCGTTCTTCTAGGCCTAGCGCTAGTTTCACATTGTTTATTGTGGAGCAATGAAGTGTCGATCGGGCATCGGGACGTTAGCGCGCCGAGTTGTTATTGAAAACGACGGAAATACGAGAGAAATTGATGCAGAATGCAAAAACAAAAGAAAAGGAGCTGGAATGAGAAGCAGCCGGTGTGCGACTTGAAAAGTTCATTAGAAAATTGAACAAGCCGCTTGCTGCACTTTGCGTTTGGTGTGATAAAGAAATCGCGGCCCGCGGCACTCTTGTACAATTGTGGTCCCGTTTGTTTACATGACGGCTATTGGGGCTGTTGAAGTGAATCTAGATCTAGATAATCTATCTCTAGATATAATCTATATTTTCACATGTTTAGATATCTAGATCTAGATTAGATAGCCTAGGCTATAATTTTAATTCAATTTAGATCTACACACTACAGGGGCACTACCAAGTTAAGTGCGAACGGGACCTCAATCGTACAGGAGTGCTCAGTACTGCGGCAAAGGTGTTGCCTCCTTGATCCAATACTGCGCGTGCTCTACATCGATGTACAAGTTTAAAGTGAAAGGAATCTTTTTATAAGACACCAGCTGGCAACAAACACTGGATTTTTAGTCACCAATTCCAAACTGTGTCAAATTGACTCAAATGCTTGTTTGTCAACTTACTGCCTTCTGTTTTTGTTTTTTTTTGTTTTTGTTTTTTGGGGGGGGTTCAGATACATTTTAATTCAGTTGCCTATGGTTAACAAATTTGACAGTTTTCCCTTCCAAAACCATAGGCTAGGTTTTCCAGTATATATTGCCTCTGGATCTCAATGGTTTTACTCTGGCCTTCGGAGAGCGCGCATACGCTTTCGCATGAATTTCCTCCTTTTTTGAAATTCCTGAGTGGCAGCTATGGGACGCTCTGGTGTAGTTTACTCTTTCTTTTCCCCCAAACATCTATTGACCATATCTTTTCTCCATTTCTTTATATGATAACGACACTCTTGTAACGCCTCTAATTCTTGGCACTTATGTGATTTTTGTGTTTCAAGTGCTTCAAAACTTTTACGAAAACTAAAAAGTTGTTAAGATCTCCGTAGATCTGGATGTGCGGGAGTACTGTTACAGTTACAATAACATAAAGATTATATGTGAAGTGTGCTGACAAAATGAGCTACTTCTCGGATTTTAGCCTTTTGGAAATATTTGAACAAAATGGAATCAAATGAAAACCTAAATCTGATCCCAGTGTTGATTTTCAGCCGATATCTCCATTCTTGGATTGCGAGAAGTAACTCATTTTGTCAGCACGCCTCACATATTGTTTTTTTTATTATGCACGTTTTCATCGTAGTTCATGTTAATTGTCATTGGTAAAAAGGCTGAATAAGCAACATAGAGGCACATGAACTCCTGTAGAACATTTTTTAATCAATTGGAACTGTACATGAATTCAACCGTTGACCTCTAGACAATGAGGCAACAAACACTCTGTGATTGTTATTGTGAGACTGAGATCAGTGATACCCCCCCCCCCCTCCCCGGGGCAGTGCTGCTGACTGTAGTGTCTTTAGGCCATTCCCAGAGGGGGGACATTTCTCGTTCAAGCACAATAGAATTGTAAATGGGCTGATTCATGTCACGCTCATAACTGTACCTGATCTGCAACAGGGAACTGCTGCTTTTTCTTTCTTAATCCTTACTATTGTCATTTTCCTCTACTTCTTTTGTATGTTTGTCATTCTTGTGACCTGCTATTTTAAGGTGCCTTGATAGTCGAAGCAGACTTTGTGCTGTTGAAGCTTGAGAGGTGAGCAGTTTAAGTCTGATTCCCTGTAAAGACTTCTCTGTTGAAACCCACCCCTTGGCGCTCATATGACCTTATGCAGTTGCGAGCGCCGTTAAACCTCTACTATAAAAAAAAAAGATCAGTGATGGCTGGCATCAAATAGTTACAGTGGAAGAGTAAGGCAGTTGCAGGTAAACAGGTAAAGCTGGTTTTGTTGTCTCAATCAAGAATCTTGAAAGGAGAGAGAAAGTTTGAGCCTTGGCCATAGCATTAAACTTTATCGCGGTGATGTTGAAAGAGCTTTGAGAGGGTGCAAAAAATCAAAAATTCTCAAAATTTGGACTTAAGTGGTTTGCTTGCGGCAGCGACACTAATAATCTTGGTAACAGTTAGATTCTAAGTTAGAAGAATAAAGTAGTTATGCCTCATTACTGATTACACGCCATTATGTTTTCCTTACAGTTTATTCGTGGTGGTTGGCGGGTGCTCTGGTGTGGTTTGCTTCTTCTTTCCTGTCAAACATCTATCGTCCTTATCTCCCCTTCTTCTTTTATATATTCGTTACTCTCTTGTAACACCTCTAATCTTCTGATGCTCATATGACCTTATGCAGTTGCGAGCGCCGTAAAACCTCTACTAAAACTAAACTAAAAAGGTAGAGGTGATCTAGTTTCCCTGCATTTGTTTCCCCAGAATGAGAAGTCAGGAAGTATGGTTGTAAGGAAGGGTGAAGATTAATCCTTCTATCCCAAACTTGCCCTCTTGTTTCTGGTTCTCCTACGGAATTTTTTTAATTTTAAAAGTAAATTTTGCACATTTTGCATTTTGGTTGGATATAAGATAAGAGTAGAAGTTTTTTCTCACTCTTCTTTCGAGGTAACTGACTTTGTTACTGCCAGTTGCCCCAGCACTCGGTCCAAATACCAAAGCATTGTCTTCATTTGGTTTTATGTGTTCCGTTCTATAGTCACCCTGCATCTTTGGCTTTTTTTCATCTTTCAGTGTATTTGCGCACAGACCCTGAACTTCTGTACTCAAGAATCAAACAAAGATGTCGCCCTGAGGAGGAAGGGATTCCACTTGTAAGTCTTGGAACTTTGGCCTCGTCACAAAGAATTTTAGCTACTTTATTTAAAACTTCTTGGATTCACTGCTTTGCGTAAGTGTCAAAAAGGGGTATGGAAAAGGATGTTCTTTACTTGACTGAACTCCACTATTAGCAAAAATTCATAGGAAAAGGGTTGAGCCAGTAGGGGCAGGAAGATACAGTCCATGCTGGCTTTTAGCGCTGTCATCGGGAGAAAGCATAATAAGCCTGCTTGAGTGGGAAGTAGCCATTGTCATTAGGGGCGGGCACGAGACGAGCCGAGTACTCGTTTCTCGCGAGAAATGCCCTTCCCGTCGCTGCCCGGGCACTAAACTACTGCTCGGTACCGAGAAGTGATACTGCTCATTTGCTTGACATAACGAGTAACGAGAGTGAGAGGTGAGAAATGACAACGCAGACAGTGCCACCTATCACCGTGCCGTCCTGTGTGTGAAACTGAAAGGGAGGGGAGAGGGTGGCGAGACGAGGTGAGTGGGGAGTTGATCAGGGCCTAGGCCTAGATCTCCCAACTTTCCTTCACCGCCTGCGCCTGCGCAACAAGGCTAGCCTAGTTTAGATCCCCGCCACGGTCGGCCTTCTCGCTGAGCGAGTTCCCATACTGCGGGGCGAGAAGAGAAATTGGTCACGAGACGAGAAGCATTTCCCGGGACTCGAGACGAGAAACATTTACGAGACGAGAAGGATTTCGCGGGTCACGAGACGAGAAGCAATTCTCGTTGCACGAGACGAGAATAATTTCTCGGGACCTGGACCGGTCCCGGTGAGAAGTAGGTCAGCTTCTCGGTCTTCCCGCTCGGGAAGGAAAAAGCGCTTCCTGCCTGTCTCTAGTGTCACACCCCAGAGATTTTCATGTAGAAAATTTCCTGAGTTATTTTCCTTTGTTCATAAGTAGTGGTCGCACAAAAGTCTGCTGTCTTTTTTACCTGCTATGGTAGCTTTTGTGTGTTTGTTTTGTTTTGTTTTGTGGTTGAATGGGAAAGGAATACATAATGTAGACGCCCGTCGCGATATAGCACAATTGGTCTACACACTGCCTGTGCGTACCACTGCCCGCTGTGCCACATTCATACCGTCGCCTTAAAATTCGTCCCACCTCGCGCATGATAAATAATCAGGATTATCAGATAGCGAGGGGCAAAGGTGAAATCGCAGCCAGCCTCCCTTTATTGTCTCCTCGACTGTCTTTGTATTTTTTTCGTCTGTGTGTAGCTTTGCCCTAGGATAAATTCTATGTCCTTGCGCGTGGCTGTGTGCATCTCTCTGCCTTGCTGTCCACGCGTACGCGCGTGTGTGTGTGTGTGTGTGTCTCCATTACTTGTGTTCGTTGTGTTTCTCTTAACACACTCACTTCTGTGCTGTAGACTGTGTTCGAACTTCGATGCGTCATCATGAAAGTATTGACTGTCTTGTAAGTGAAGTGTGCCCAAAGTCGAAGTTACCGTGCTTAAAGGCGTGTAATTTATAGAGCAAAAGTTTGGCAAGAGCTGTTTAGCGTGCTTGAGTCCGAAATGTGTTTTAGGCCGGCGTGTTTAAAGCCGGGACGGACTGTACTGAAAGGAGAAGGGATTTTCAACTTCGATAAAATCCTCCAAAATCAAAGGTGTTTGATTTTTTTTGGTCACCATATATACAATTGATCTCTTTGAAGAAAACAACCAATCAGAAGGCTAATACAAATACTTTGCATTGCAGGATCAGTTCTTTTGTTTGAATGTGGAGTACAATAGGCTGTTACCTTGTGAGTGGTGATATTGAGAGTTACAAAATGTACTGACAACCGAGGGATGAAACACCATCCTAGTGTTGCCATGTCAAGGAATGATCAAAAGAAGTCCTCTGAATATTAGTTGAATATGAACTGTGATGAGATAAAGATAACGGCCCCTGTCCTCCTAAAAAAGAAATACTTGTTCATTTGTAGTTTATTATTTTTATGATGTTACAGGATTACTTGCATATGCATGTTTTGACATTACAGGATTACTTACGAACACTCCATCAACTCCATGAAGAGTGGTTGATACACAAAAAGAGTCCTTGCCCTGCTGAAGTTCTGGTGAGTCCAAAAAATGGATTGGGGAGAGGGATGGTGGAAGGAAATAACGATGGGGAACTGAGACCTGACTATGATAATAGAACACTTTTCAATTATTCATTGAAGTTTTTATCCTTTTCCCCTTTTCGTTCACTTTCTTTTTCAGTGTGTGTGTTTTTGTGTGTATGTGTGTGTGTCAGTGCATGTTTGCGTGCACCCGGATGTGTGGAGAGAAAGAGAGAGAACGTCCCCACCCCCTAGAAATGCATATATTTATGTTCTTTTTTGAGAATCAGCGATTCAGCCTTATATTTCTATTATTGCAGCTTTCTACAAAAATGTTTACTTCCTGAGGCCCCCACCCACTTAGTGCTGTTCTGTACCAGTCTTTACTTTCAATGGATTACACAGGTTAAAAAAATGACTGGAGAATCTGTATGCAATTTGATGCATTGCCGGGGGGATGCCTGGCCACTTTGCAATCAAAACTCAATCAATGGTATTTTCTTATCCTTTAATGTTTTAAAATTAAATCTTTGGGAGGAGGAAATCTTGATGTTTAAATGATACACAGTTCCACAGTCCATGAAAGACCTTGTTGTACAGCAGGTATCTGGTGATGAAGACAGCGAGGAGTGAGTATTCGGTAGGTCTAAATGCTCCATATATAGACATTCATGGATATATAAACGGACCACAAGTAAAGGAGTTCTGGGCCTTTCACCATCTTACTTTTTTTCTCCCTTGGCAGGTGATTGATGCAAATTCATCTTTGGAAGAGATGCAGATCGCATACGAATTCCACAAGAGCAAAATTCTTCAACGAAATTAATGATGGACCTCAAACCTCAAAGGCCTCTTATTTTTGTTTGCAGAAAGCGAACAGTGTGCAATAGTGCCTGTGCGAGTTGCTCAGGTGACCTTGGACTTTGGGTTCAAGAGGATAAATCGTTGCCTCAGAATTGTTTTGTCCAAAGTAACTCTTTATTCAAGGTGCGGTGGTGGAGCAGTTAATGCGCTCGTCTCTGAAGCGAAAAGTCCGGGTTCGAGCCTTGGTTCGAACACAGATTTTTTTCGCCCCCTCCTGCCCATCCAGCAGTAATGGGTACCTGACTTCGAGTTGGGGAAGTTAAGGCGGCGTGGAAAGGAATTGGCCACCCTACCACAATATGCCTAAGGCTGAGGAAGTTGTCTCACTAACAAGGCAATCCCCAATGTCCGGATCAAATGCAGGAACAACTTTACTTTACCTCTTTATTTAAATGCACTTTGGACAAAATAGTTCTGAGGTGACGAATTGGCTGCTAGGCTGACAGGGGTACTCCCCCTAACTTGACAGCCATCCAAATGTGAGGCAGCGTGGTGGAATCAGGCTCTCGTCAAAGTAACCAAGGTAAAGAAACTTGCATTTTAATCAAATTTTTGTTTTTTGGTTCAACACCTTTCATGCTCATTAAAGAACTCATTTCGTTGTGGATTTTTCTGAAAAGCGTTGATTAAAGGCATTAAAATGTAAATCTTCAGTTACCACGGACTCTTAAGCTGAGGAAATAACTTATCTTTGGCGGCCATTTTCTCACTAATTTTACCTCTGAAAACAGGTGACCCCCACCTCCTTCATTCGCAAATATCTCGACTTGTATTCAAGATAAATGGATATTTTTTTCTTCCAAATAAAGACAAGGGAACAAGCTTTAAGATCATACCAATAACTCTACATGCCCAAAAATTGACGAGAGCCTGATTCCACCACGCTGCCTCACAAATTAGTGGAGCCTAACTCTGGGTCTGAGAGACTGCCCTTTTGCTCAGTCAGACGAGAGCATTGAAACATGGCAGCTTTATTTTTGATGTTGTCTTGGCTACTTTTTTTTTTCACCTATTAATGAATTCATCTCTTCAGAGGATCGGCTCTTTGTGAACTGAGATAAATGAAAAGTTTAGTCTTGTCCCTTTTTCTACCCTTTCATATTCTCAGTAGAACGTTTTTGGTACCATTTTGAGGATGCCTGAAGTTCTTATGTTCACCGTTTTTCTACCGTTAGTTGAGTATGAGTTTCCTCATTTGTGTCATGGTTAAAGCATTGTGAATAAGTTTGTTTTAGGAATTGTTCCTAGTCACAGATTCATATTATGTATGTGTTGCAAAAAATCTGGTGAAATATGGTTAATGGTAAGTGTCGGGATACCACCTGAAAACTGTAAAATATTGAATTTTGGTAGGATTTCAAACTCTATCAATTACATTTTCCATCCTTTTTTTCTGGAGGGAAATTGCAGTGTCAATGCCTATGTTGACTTGGTCCATTTTGAAAAAATATTTTCTGAGATAGTATTCAACATTCCTGTCCAGAGCTGGGGGTGAATATAGTGCGAGTAGAAATCAATTCATGGCAAATTTGTGTTGCTTTAATGAAGTAAAAATAGAGGAGAGGGAAGAATTTCTTCTTTTTTTTTTTTAACCTTCTTTTCCTACCAGTTTTTAAAAACTCAAACAAAAGCATTTCTTCCTTGCAATGTGAGGGCCCTGTTAACACCATAGTTAGTAATGATGCTGAGCTGTGCTGTGGATTACCCTGGTTTGAATCCTCATAGTTGCCCCCAACTCAGTTGTGCACAATAATTGTGTCAGGACGTGGTGGAATCAGGCGCTCGTCAATTTTTGGGCATGTGGAGTTATTGGAATCATCTGAAAGCTGATTTATTTGCCTAGCTTCTAAGGAAACAAATACCAATTTATCTTGGATAGAACTCAAGATATTTGCGATTGAAGGAAGTGAGGTCGCCTGGTTTGGCAAGTCCAATAGCTAAAGAGTCTTTGAAAACTGAAAGATGACATACTTTGTGCCTTTAATCTATGTTTTGCAGTAAAATTCGCTTGGAAATGTGTTTTTAAATGGATGTAAAAGAGGTTAAGCCAAAAAATAAAAATTCGATAAAAATGTCCAAACTGGCGGAAAATTTCCAGTTTCTCCGATATTGTTATTTTGACGAGCGCCTGATTTCACCACGCTGCCTCACAATTGTATGACTAAGCTTACCATAAGTAATTCTGGTGCCGATAATAATATAATCATCATCATTATTGTCAAATGCCAGATCTGCAACAGACATTGATCACCGGTTCTCCATTTATTCCTTTGCTCGGATGCTCTCAAAAAGCTACACTTACACTATCCTGGTCTTTCCCCATCACCTTCATGTATCTGTTGAGGCTTTCCAAGTCTGTGGGTCTACCTCTGTCTTGTTTGCCTTCAGTTTTGTCTATGAGAGCTAGATATTCAAGACCTTTGTGTCTATTCAAGTTCAAGTATTCCAGAGACTGCATTCATCTTTTCCTGATTGTTTTGATCAGTGAGCAGCCCGCATGGGCTTCTTCAGGTGCTACCACATGTACATTTGATTTTTTCTCTTTCCAAGAAATTCTCCACAGTCTTCATAGAAACCACATTTCAATTTTCACCATCTTTAGTGATTGTCCAGTGTTGAACTGGGCGTAGAAAAAAAGAGCACCCATGTAAAGGGAAATGACCCGGTCATCTTTATGCCAATTTCAACAAAACTTGGAACAAATAAAATTCAACAAAAGGTACGTTATTAAAATAATAAATATAAAAAATTTCAACTTTTTCGAGAAATACAGCTAGTTAAAAAAAATTTCAACCAAAACTGAGGGAAGTGCAACTTGCAATGTCTGAAAATTCCACCATGATGAGTATATCTATCTGTGCATTGAAGAACAAATCTCTACATAAAATAAAACTGGCATTGCCTATTTAACTCGTGGAAGGTGGCGACTATTATTACTATTAAAATTGTATAATTCAGGAGTTGACCTTTTCTCCTCAGACAATCTTGACTAAGCTGCTGACAATTTTAACTAACCCTGTGGCATGTTTGTGGGTTGATTCTTTGAACATGTTGTTCAATATCTAGTTCAACAGACCTCTTCTACCCCCGGTGCTACTGACTGAAGTGTCTTTCAGTCACTCCTAAGGGGGGGGGGGGGACATTAACATCTCGAGTTCTTATGCACAGTAGAATTGTAATTAATTGTAAATGAGCTGAGTCATCAATCTCATGCTCATAATTGTGCCTGATCTACAACAGGGAACTGCTGCTTTTTCTTTCCTATTCCTTACTGTCGTCATTTTTTTCCTCTACTTCTTTTGTATGTGTGACACGCTATTTCTGGGATGCCTTGATAGTCGAAGCAGACCTTGTGCTGTTAAAGCTAGATAGGAGTGAGCAGAGTAAGTCTGATTCCCTGTAAGGACTTCTCCCCTTGGCGCTCACAAGACCTTATGCGGTTGCGAGCGCTGTAAAACCTCTACTGAACAAACAGACCTCCTCAAGAGCATATCCCCCCCCTCTTCCCCCCCCAAAAGTGGAAATAAAATAAATAAACAAGAACTTTGTTAGCAAGGTGAGACATCCATTTAATGGGACTCGTGGTGTTACCATTATTGTCCTGAACCCAAAACCAGAACAGGCCGATGACGTCCCTGTCACTGAACGCTTTCAAGCAGTAAATTTTACATCTTACTCAGTTTTGGTGGAAATTTTTTTAAAAAACTTGATGTTCCTCAAGCATGCGAATGGATTTTCGTCATATTGACAAATACATAAATGTTGCCTCCCCTTGGTTGAATATTGTATCTAGCCTGTACTGTAAGAAGTTTTCTTGAAATTGATACAAAGATGACGAAACTAGACTATTACTATTGCCCTTACAATGGGTTCTTTTTTTAAAATTTTAAGACCCTCTGTAAGTGTAAGGGACCATTTACAAATGATGTCAGCTTAGAGGATGAGGGGGGGGTGTCAGTGAGAAGGGACAAAAGGTGACATGTTGGAGGGGGTTCCTTTCAAAGTTGACGTCAACTGTTACGCTTGAAAAGGTTGGGGGAAAAAAAAGAAAAGAAAAAGAAAGAAAAAATGTTTGACCTCATCTTGGCCAAAAATTAACACAGTTAAATTGGACCATATTTTTGGGGCCTGAAAACTAAAATTAACAGTTATTTCCCCTTAACACAGACTGCTGGAGCAAGAAGCAAGATTAGAATAGATTCTATCTAAATAAGTTCATGTATGTACATTTTGGTTGACGTCAACTAGGGTTAGGGGGGGGGGGGGGGGGGTCCTGGGAAAGACGACAAAGGGGGAGGAGGGGGTCATTTTTAGGCCAGATTTTAGCTGACGTCATTTGTGAATGGTCCTTCTAATTGCCTGGACGCAAAACTGACACTGCCTACAAAATATTGAATTTTTGTTATTGGACAAAAGTCAACTGCCAGGCAGGCAATTGTTGAATTTGTTTTCATAAAAAATATAACGGGACCACTTTATGTACTATGTACGGTATTTCATTGGGTTTTTTTTTGTTTTTGTTGAATGTTGTGCTTGTATAATATGGTCGCTTTTAAGGACAAGCGGGCTAACCCAGATTTCGGGGCTTTCCAGAAATCTTGATCTACACTAAAAGTGGGCATTGCCCTATCTATAGGAGAAGTTTAGTTTTATTGGTGTGTATATTTGTTTGGTTATAGAGTAAACTTTCCTTGTCTTTTAAAGAAACTGAACAAGGGTTCAAAAACTTTACCTTCGATTTTCTTAAAACAGCTTTTTTTGAGATAGCCCCCTTGTTCTTAAAAGCGACCATATATCATTCTCCTTGTTTTTTTTACTTTGTAGTATGTATTATTATGATGATTGATGTCACAGTGTTTTATTCCAATAAAGAACTGTTTCAAAATGCATTATCCTTTGGAACACTTTTATGTTTGCTGGACTGGTTGTTAGAAGGTGGCACGGGTAGGTCGTACTATTTTCCTTTCCTCTTTGCCTTTCTCAAAAGTGACCATAAACCGTCACCATATGATAAAGTAGGAACTATTTGAGCTGTCTGTGAAAAATTAAAAAAGCAGAGCCATCAGGATTCAGGATGTGTCGTGATCTATACAGAAATTTACTATAAACCACAAAAGTAAAATGTTGTACACTTGGACCCTTTTCTCAAGTACGCTAAATTTTTCTCTCATTGGGTTAGAATCCGGATAGCGACAGAAAATTTTCTAAAAAAAAAAAATTCCTTTCACACCCTTTCCTAACAATGTCTTTCAGCCACACCCCTGATCTTATGGTAGGAAATATCTACACCTAGCCTTCTCGGAAAAGGGCGAAAAAACTCAGAGGTCCCATGTTCAAGTTGCGCACGATAAAGACCCCTTGGTGGTCCAAAATAGATAAGAGTAGACTTCGGCCGCCACCCGGGCAAAATTCAAAATTTCCTACCGAACTGAAAATGTTTAATGTGTGTCCCGCGCGCTCATATGACTTTATATAGTTGCGTGCGCCGTAAAACACTTACCAGCTATAATATATGTGAGGCAGCGTGGTGGAATCAGGCTCTCGTCACTTTTTGGGTATATAAAGTTATTGGTATCATCTTAAAGCTTGTTCACTTGTTTTTATTTGGTTGAAAAAAATATCCGTTTATCTTGAATACAAGTCGAGATATTTGTGAATGAAGAAGGTGGGGGTCACCTGTTTTCAGAGGTAAAATTAGTGAGAAAATGGCCGCCAAAGATTTGTTATTTCTGTAGCTTAAGACTCCGTGGTAACTGAAAATGTATATATTTTGTGCCTTTAATCAACGTTTTTCAGAAAAATCCTCACCGAAATGAGTTCTTTTATGGGCATGAAAGATGTTGAGCCAAAAAACAAAAATTTGATAAAAATTCAGAAAGCTGCGGAAAAATGCAACTTTCTTCACTTTTATTTTGACGAGAGCCTGATTCCATCATGCTGCCTCACATATTATAATCCTTTCGGTATTGAATGTTGTGTTGATTTGCTTCTCCATTCTTAAATTAACAATCCAACTTGTAGGATCTACAACTACAACTCATTATCTTGAACTACCGGTATCTATCTAGGAGGATTGGAAGGTGTAGATCCCCCCCCCTCTTTCTCTCTTTTTCGCTCCCTCTCTCTCTTTCTCTCCCTCTGTCTCTCTCTCTCTCTCTCTCTCTCTCTC